AGGTAGTGGCGGCGACAAGGTAGTGGCGACGGTGAGGTCGTAGCAGTAGTGAAGTAGTGGCGGCGATAAGGTAGTGGCGGCGGTAAGGTAATGGCGGCGGTAAGATAATAAGAGAAGGAAAGAGAAGTACGAGAAATATACAAGTTAAAAGTATAAGCTAGTTATAATGATGACCTAAAGTATTTTCTGCTCTTAGCACGTGTTTTTATTTATTACGATAAAGTTGATATTAAGGTGTAAAGGTTGATATTGAAGTGTTAAGATTAATATTAAAGTTTAAAGGTTGATATTAAGGTGTAAAGATTAATATTAGAGTTTAAAGGTTAATATTAAGGTGTAAAGATTAATATTAAAGTTTAAAAGTTGATTTAAATAATAACATATTAATAAACTCGTCAACTTTAAGATCAACCTTAATATACACCGATTATAATGGATATATAATCGGTTGATTAGTATTAACTTGGTGTTGACTCGGTGTTTACTCGGTGTGCACACGGTTTTTAAACGTAAAGGGTGCGCTCGTAAGTATAAAGATTGATATTTAAATATAAATTGATATTTATTAAACGGTAACACGAGGAACAAAGATAAGTAAAATGATTTTTAATTCTTGTCTAATAAACTTAAAAAGTAGCCCTTTATTTAAATATCTAAAAAGGTCTTAACACGTAATAGGTCTATCACTTGATTATATCCAAGTTCTAACAATCTTACTCAAAACTTATTTGAATAAGAAACACTCTTACTGAAGTTCATAAATAAAGCTTTTATTAAAAGTAGATCCGAAAGAGAAAAGGATATAAGAGTATTATAAGGAAAAACAGCAAAGGCCGAAAAACCTAATTACAAAAGAAAAATAAAAGGCCAATTTAATTGCTCGCTTGTTAAAGAAAGGAAGACTATTTTAATTTTTAATTTTCGTCTTTTCACTTAATTGCACTTAAAAAAGCCTTTTCTCTTTTGGTAAGCTATCCTCTTCTTTTATTAACTAATTCTAAAGGTGATTAACAGCATTATTAGCTAACGGAGAAAGGTGCTGCGTAAGGCTTATCGAATTTTCGGCGTTATTTTTTATTTTAATATTTGCGATTAGAAAGTTTTAAAAAATAAAAGATTTACGCGATAAATCTTAAAAGGATCGAATCTTGACTTCGAAGAAGGACTTTTAACGTAAGATTCAAGCAGCTTTTATTTACATTTTCCATCTTAAATCAAATCAATTGATTTTGTTTGCTTTTTTTATTTAAAATTTAAATTCGTTTTCCGATAATAGCTAGTTTTTTTAATTCTTATTGCTTAACGTATTTCGTAGCTAAGTAGCGATATAAATTACGTATTAATCGTTTAGATTGCCGTTAATTAAGCCGAGAATCTAAAAGTCTTTTTCATCAAAGCTCTTTTATTAATCAACATATATTCTAATAAATTCTTTTTATAAAAGAAAAGCGTAAACTTATAAACTTCATTAAGATCGATATTAAAATAATTGCAATTATAAATCGCGAGATCGAACTTCTTACCGTTTTTCTATTGCTAAGCTGCTTAAGCGTAATCGTTCGGCTATAAGCTCTCCTTTTTCGATTAAGTATTAACTTATCCTTTCATCTTCGTAATAAACTAGCCGAAACGAAAAGTAGCCGGTTTATTATCGCGTCTAGCGAGCAGTTTAACGAATTAAGAAAAAGTATAATTATTTTTAACTTTAATATAGCTATTAGCTTATTTTTTACAATCGATATAAAAGAACGGTCGGGAAAAGAAAATCTAATAATAAAGTGCTAGTTTTATTTATTAAATAATACGGTTAATAATACTCGAAATTCATCGTTAGCAAAGTCAAGTAACTCGCTATCTCGTTAATACTAGCATCCGGTTATAATTGTTTTAAGTCCAAGATCATTTGCTAATCTAGCTTAATAGCGTTGCTGATTTCGTCAGCGCTAATAAAAAAACTTTATATAAAAAAGTCGCAAAGTATAAATTAAAGTTTTCGTTTTCTTTATTTTAAATTATGTTTTCGAAAACAAGCGTCTTTTCGAGGTTTTTTCTTTTCGAGGTTTTTCAACGAGTGCTAAGCTATTAGCTTTAATAATTTTTATACAGGCTTTAATGCGAATGCGAAGCTTTTTATTAGTCTTAATTTCGAAAGAAAAAAAATGGTCGCGGTCGGATTTAAAAGAGTTTAAATCGCTAAAGCGTGCAGTTCGCTTAACGACCTTTTTTGCTTAAAGCATAATTTAAAAAAGGTGATCGACTATATAATTAAAAAGAAAAAAAGTAAATTATAATAAGTTTTTTTATATCTTATCGATCGCAAAAATCATAAAAAAAAATTTATAAGTTTATAAAAATATCAATTTGAATTTGCGCCGCTACGATTAAATCTTTTAAAACTTTAATAGTTCAATAAAGTGATTAAAAAGAATCGATCTTTATCGTTTAAAACCACTCTTAATTAGAAAAGGCTAAATTGAGTAAATCGATAATAAAAGTGCTTCGATTACGTAATATTAAACTTTTAACACTTCAATCTCTTCTTTAAACTCTTTAAATTATTGCTTAGCTAATAGCTTAATTCAACCGTCGGCGACTGAATTTGCAATAGCGACTTATTTTAAATCTATTAAGCTATCTCGTACGGCTTTTTAAATAAATATATAACGAAGATAAATATGCTTAATTCGATAATAAAATTAAGTATTTTTAATTAATGCGATCGCTTTTTGATTATTGCAATAAATTAAAATTAAAATCGTCTTTTCTTGCGAAAGTATTTCGATGAAAAAGCGTTAAAATTAATTTACTTTTTTAATAGCTTTTATCTTGGCTATTAATTCGGATTCGCACGAAAATAAAGTAATAATAAGTAGCCGTTTGGAAAACTAATTGATTGCTTCGCTTTACGTAAGTTACGTGTGGCAGCCCAACCAGTATCGCCACCAATATCGCTACCAGCGCTGCTACTAGTATTGCTTTGCCACTAGTATCGCCACCAGCATTGCTTTGCCACCAATATCGCCTCCAGCATTGCCTTGCTACTAGTATCGCCTCTAGCATTGCCTTGCCGCCAGTATCGCCACTAGTATCGCTATTAATATCGCTACCAGCGCTGCCACTGGTATTGCCTTGCTTTTAATATCGCTTCTAGCAAATAGTAGCGGCGGTAAGGTAGTGGCGGCGGTGAGGTAATAAAGGTAGGTGAGGTAGTAGCGGCGGTAAGGTAATGGCGGCGGTAAGGTAATAAAAGTGGGTAAGGTAGTGGCGGCGACAAGGTAGTGGCGACGGTGAGGTCGTAGCAGTAGTGAAGTAGTGGCGGCGATAAGGTAGTGGCGGCGGTAAGGTAATGGCGGCGGATTAATAGCGGTGGCTGAATTAAGCTTAGCTATTATATATAAATTAAACGGGCCGACCCGTTCCGAAAAAGTTCAATAGATTAACAAGGGATAAAAGTCTTAGCACGCTTAAAAATCTTGCTAGACCCGTATAGAAAATTTCACGTGATTGGATAACTAATTATTATCATAACCAAAACTACTAGAATTTATCTTGGGTTACTGTTGGTAACAATTAACTTCGGCGCGATTATAGCTAAAAATTAATAAATCATCGACGTAAATAGCGATAATCACTATTCTTTTATAAAAAAAGTTTGCGTTTAAAACGAAAGGTTTAAATCTTATTTCGATAAAAAATTCAAATAAAGTATTATATTAAACGCGAAAAGCTTATTCAAATCCGTAAAGTGCGCGATTTAATTTGCAAACCTTTTTAATCTCGTCTTCGAGCTTAATAAGCTGTTTTACGTAAACGGATTCGGCAACTTTTTTATATAAAAACGCGGCTTTAATGTTTATTTAATCGATTTTTTAATTTAAAATAGTTGCGATAACAGAAATCATTTTATAACTTACAAGCTTAACGATCGTAACAAAAGTCCTAATATAATTAATGCCTTCTTTTTATTAATTTCTTTTAACGACTTAGCAAGCTTTTTAGCGAATTATAAAGCTATTAAATCTTCGCTTATATTTATATACTTATCGATCGAAAAGAACGCGCCAAGTTGTAAATGAATCGATAAAGTCTTAAATTTCATTTTCGTAAAATGATTTTTATTTTTCGGCTATAAATTTTATTTAAGCCGTTCGATTATTATCGGCTATAGCTTATTTATAAGTTTTCAATTCGAAAGGTTTAAAAGAGTTAGCTTTAAAAAGAATGACTTTCGCTATGAAGCCGAATAAAGCTTAAATATTTAAGTTATCTTTATCTTTGGCGTATTTGATTTTGAGTTTTTTTTTCGATTTTAAAATCTGCTTTATTAAAAGTATTATCAAAGCGATTAAGTTAAGTAAGTCAAAGTCTCGGTAAAGCTTAAAATGAGTTGACAAAAAAAAAGAGTTCGAAAAATAAATTTAAATATACTTTTAAAAAACGAAAAGAAAGAAAAAAGAGTCGAAAGATAATGAAAGCGATTAAAAGTATTAAAAGTATTAGAGCTTTTTAAAAAAAAAATAAAGGTCGGAGATCTTGAGCGATAACCTTTCGAGCCGAATAATCTTCGTTCTTAACGGTAAGCGAAAGGCGTGAGAATTTTAATTGTTTTTTAAGCGATCTTTCGATTTTGCGCTTTAAAAGCGTTAAAAAATAAGAATTCTAAAAGTAAAAAGCGAAGTTAAAATATAAAAAATAAATAATTCTTTTATGAAATCTATTTATTAAATAGCGGTAAAAGTTAAAAGTTGCTTAATTATATCCGCGCTATATGCTCTTTTAATAAGACCGTCGTCCGTTAAAATATAATAGATATAATCACTTTGGTATTTAATAAGCTTTTTATAAGAAATGCGCTTAA